CCCCCCCCCCCCATTCGCTCCTCCCGTCGTCCCTCTGCCTCTCTAGGACAGGTCACTTCGCTCGTGCGGCGTCCACCAAAGCAACAATGGTCCAGCTGGAGTCGGGCAGCTTCTTCCGGAGCGAGGACTCCGAGTTCGAGGCCATCGTCGACGAGTTGAACGACATCCTGGCCCTCGATCGCGATCTGAAGCAGCTCCTCCCGCTGAAGACCGACAACCTGATCGATGTCTGCCGCGATGGGGCCGTCCTGGCGCGCTTCATCAACCTCGTCCGGCCGGGCACCGTGGACCTGAGCAAGCTCCGCGGAGGCATCGACATTGTGGCCCTCAAGAAGATGAAGGAGCAATCCTCCAAGCGGTCCTCCACCAGCTCCTCCGGCGGCAGCTTCAACGGGGTGCAGAATGTCGGCAGCAAGAACATCTTCGAGGCCACCACCAATGCCAACCTGGCCCTGGAGGGGCTGAACAAGCTCGGCGTGCCGCTGGTCAATGCCGGGCCGATGGACATCGTCCATGGGAACCGCAAAATCATCATGGGCATCCTTTGGCAGGTGATGCGCGTGTTCCTGCTGCACACGGTGTGTGTCAATGACCATCCGGAGCTGGTGCTGCTCATGAACAAGCAGGAAACCCTGCAGGAATTCAATGACCTCCCGCCGGAGGCGCTTCTCCTGCGCTGGGTCAACTACCACCTCCGCCGGGGGGGTGGCTATGCCAATGGCGGCCGCGAGGAGGCCGGCACCGATCGGCGCATCACCAACTTCACCGAGGACCTGGCCGATGGCATGGTCCTGCTCCGGCTGCTGAATGCCCTGGCCCCGCGGCAGGTGGGTCGCGACATGGTGCAGGAGGCCATCGACGCCGAGGATGACACCGCCCGGCACCGGGTGCTGCTGCGCGCCGCGGCGGCCGTCGACTGCCGCAAGCACCTGTCCTCCGACACGCTGAAGAGCAAGCGCCGCGAATTGAACCTGGCCTTCCTGGCCCAGGTGTTCAACAAGTTCATCGGCATGCGCCTGTGGACCGAGGACGAAGTGGACGACCTGATGACCACGGTCGACCGGCTCAAGGCCAAGATCATCGAAGCCGGGGTCAATGACGAGGGCCGCATCAACTCCATCGTCTCCAAGGCCACCGACGCCCTGGCCGAGGTGACCCTGCGCATGCAGCAGCTCGAGACCCAGACCAAGCGCGATGCCGAAATCATCGACAAGCACGAGTCGCTGGCCGTCGAGTCGCAATTGACCATCGACAACTTGCGCGCCGAGCTGCAGCAACTCCGCCGGACCAACCAGGAAATGGTGGAGTTCCACAACCGCCAGGTGGAGAAGATCCACAAGATCCAAGATCGCAACCGCAATGCCCATGGCCCGGCCGCCGGCAGCGGGGTCATGTCCGGCGATGAGCTCTTCAGCGACGAGGACGAGGGCGGTCGCAGCCACCGGCGCCGCGCCGGCGGCAAGTCCTCCAAGTCCGGCCGCAGCAAGAAGAGCTCCTCCAAGCGCCGGGGCAGCTCCACCCGCGCCGGCGACGATGACGACCCGACTGCCATGGATGCCGGCATGGGCGACGGCCCGGACGCCGACACCGCCACCGGGCGCCGGTCCACCGACGAGATCATCACCCCGGAGATTGTCGAGGCCCTGGTCCAGCTGGAGCGGGCCATGCGCGCGCGCATCGAGCTCGTTTCCCGCGGCGAGGATGGGTACATCGAGAATGAGGAGGATGTGGAGGCCATCCTCCAGGAGTCGGGCCAGCACCTTCCCCCGGTCGGCGCGCCGGTCGCCGCCGCCGCCGCCAATGCCGCCGCCGGCCGGAAGATGCCCACCGACTCGGCCAGCCCCATGCTTGACACTTCCTCCTCGGCGTCCTTCGGCTTCGGCGGCATGGTTGCCGGCGGGGCCGGCAGCGAGGTGGTCCTCGGGCCCAGCCAGACGGCCCAGCAGCTGGCCCAGTCGTCGGTGCGCGCATGCTCCGACGAGGCGGTTTGCTCGGCCCCCATCCCGGAGCGCCTGCACCTGATCGGGGCCGACTTCGTGGCCCTCTTCGACATCCTGGCCCTCGACTCGCGCGATCTGCGCACCACCCATGCGCGCATCTCCAAGATCAATGACATTCTTTTCAAGAAGGTCCGCGACATCGCCGAGCAGTACTCCCAGGGGACCTCCGGCTGCCGGGGCTGTGGGAGATCCTGCAAGAAGTGCACATCCGCCTCCAGCAAGTCGGTCAGCGCCAGCAACAGCGCCGTCCAAAGCCCGAGCAACAAGAACGCCTGGTTCGGCTAAACCCCCCCCCCCCCCCC